AAGCATTTGCATCCATGTTGAAACAAGATATGGAATGGTTTGATAAACAAGAAAATCATAGTGGTGCTATATGTCAACGATTACAATTTGATGCATTAGCTGTACAAAGCGTAAGTGTCGTTTGTTATTAGCCAAAAAATCATTTATAACCGTCGTCTATTTGCTTCTAGATGGCAGGATTTCGTATTGGTTTATTAATAGAAACGTCTTCAACATTTATTATTGGTCTTGGATTTTCTTTTGTATTTAGCTGGCAGTTAACTTTGATTATTATTGCCTTTTATTTGTTTGCTTTTACATGTATTTATCTACAAGTATACACAGAATCTACATTATGTGAGAAAACATTTAAAATACTGGAGCAAGCATCAGTAGTAAGTTTCAATAAATTTTATGAAACCAAGTGAGACATTGCACAATACTACTATATACGGGTGAATGGCATAGTCATTATACCGTCTGTCAAAAAAAATTGTCTGGAAGAAAAATTAAAGTAGTGTTAAAGTGATTGATAAGTTAAATGTTACTGTGATACAGGATCAGAAAAAATGGCTTTTCCCTACACTTTATCCACTTTTTCCGAAAAAACTTGGTTTATTCTGATAATGGCTAAAATCCCCACAGTGGCTCCAAAATATAGTGCAGGTTGCCATTTTCTGAATAACTCAATAACAGCATAAGATAAAACGTTGCAGTCTTTAACAATCAAAATTAGACATCTGAGGCTAGCTTTTCACAAGCAAAAACGGTTATTGAAAAACTTTTGAAGGCAACTTTTCAGCGCATCTTTGGAAAACCAGTTTAGATCTCTAAAAGCGGACATTGAAATAGGTCAATTTTTTTCATAGATATATAGTTCGAAGTGTCCTCTATAAAACTGGATCCAAGCAACATCTGGGAAATCCATGGTTCGGGAGCTATGGGCGTTTTTCCCGAAGCCTTAGGACTCCTCTGCCGTTAGGTTTGGAACTGTTAGAAACGACTGTAAACATAGGTTATCGACTATGCTAAATCTCGTGGTAATGTTAGTTTTCAGAACAGACTGCAAGGATCCAGTGCAAACCTTTACTAACTGAAATAACCCATTTCGGGCTTTTTTCGTCAAAAATTAGAAAATTCATAACTCAGTCACAATTCATCCAATCTGCTTCAGCATGTCAGGAAATACTCTGTTTTGTCCGATCATTTTGATTTTGTACTTAAAATCAATAAAAAAACATTCTTTTAGTTTCGAAGGTTTCCCAGAAAACTTTCTAAAAACCAAAATATTTTCTGTTGAGTTTTTCAACTTTTACTGACCTTTGCGGTATGCTGAAGATAAAATAAAGTATTTCCTGACATTCTGAAGTAGATTGGATGAATTGTGACTGAGTTATGAATTTTCTAATTTTTGATGAAAAAAGCTAGAAATGGGTTATTTCACTTAGTAAAGGTTGGCACTGAGTCCTTGCAGTCTGTTCTGAAAACTAACATTACCACGAGATTCAGCATAGTCGATAACCTATGTTTACAGTCGTTTCTAACAGTCCCAAACCTAACAACAGAGGAGTCCTAAGGCTTGGGGAAAAACGCCCATAGCTCCCGAACCATGGATTTCCCAGATGTTGCTTGGATCCAGTTTTACAGAGGACACTTCGAACTATATATCTATGAAAAAAATTGACCTACTTCAATGTCCGTTTTTAGAGGTAGTCAAACTTTTCCATTACCACCATATGATCGATTTGGTTACTTAGTTTAAGAGAATTCGAAACGTTACGATAACATGTAGTGACATATCAAAGGTCTCCGAATGAACCGGAAAAAAACGAAAAACGTTATTGTTATTTTTATCTACTATAGTAGATAAAAATAACAATAACGTTTTTTTCCGCTATAGCGGAAAAGTGCTTTTTGTGCGGTTTTTCAGCCATTTCAGCTTAACTTGTAGAGTTTATCCTGATCGCGTTATATCCCATCTCTAGGCCTCGGGAAAAAAATTTCAAGTAACTCGGTTTTCTAGAAACCCTAGCGGCCTTAAAATCCATTTTGAAATTTTTTCAACCTCATCATTGGATAGCCCACTCGACTTTTTACAAAATGAGGACCGAGTTTTAGGCGTTAGAAGGTTTACTGTCATAGAGTCTTGGAAAATTTTCAGTTTAATCAGAATGTCCCTGCTGGATATGTTCCTATCAACTTATCGTTAGTGGAAGGTCATAGGCACTTGGCTGACAACTCGTTTTGTAAAGGTTGAGGCGGCTATCCCATGATGCGGTTGAAAAACTTTCGGAATGGACTTTAAGGCCGTTATGGTTTCTAGAAAACCGGATTACTTGAAAATCTTTTCTCCAAGACCTGGAGATGAGACATAATTTTTCTTCATTAAAGTACATAAAGTTGATACGCTCTTTCATTTGAGATCAAACTCCAGCTTTTATATTAGGGAATGCGACAAGGACAGGCTCTGCAAGTGAGGCGGAAATGGCTGGAAAACCGCTGAAAATGCACTTTTCCGCTGGTAGATAAAAATACCAAGAAGTTTTTTTTAAGAGTCACTTGGAAATCTGCGGTTTTCACCAGTCGACTCGGCTCGCGTACCTCTACAAAATGGAGTGGGTCTCGTCATTTACGCCGAATGTTGATGTAATGGTGGTAAGTTTCACATGGATTGACCCGTTTACCACCTTAGTTTCATCAAATTTGGTGTAGTGCATGCAGTAAAAGCACCTAATTCAATAAAGCTTCAGATGGAAAGAGTGATGACATCAGTAGTACAGGACATAACATGAAGTAAGAAGAATAGAAGAGAATATGATGGACATATGACGTCAGAAAGGACAAAGGGTAGTCATATTTCTAAACATATGATCTTCTTATGTCTGTCTACATGACGTTTAAATGGGGCTGTGTCATATATAAAAGTGTATGACAGTTGATGGTGCAACCTTACCACCGCAATGTCTCAGTTGATTCCACAAAATTTCTCTCTTGCACAACTAAGTATATAGTTGTTATTTAAAGATAGCTTCAGAATCAATCGAAAACAGACGTGTAATTGCACAATTAACTAAAGAAGATTTATTTATAAATAAATATTCAAATTTAATTCATCAAACATACAGGTAAGAAAGAGAAAGAAAATAGAAGTTAAACACTTTCTATATACACAATTCATATGTCTGATTGATAGTATATCCAAAAAGTATTTGCATATTGGTGCATTAACATTTGCTCTTGTTTTGACACATTTCCATTTTATCTTGGCTGCAATATATGCCACAATTATTCTACTCATTAAACATAACCAAATTCAAATTGAACATATAACAATGTAAATAGTATTTTTCGTTAACTTGTTTCATGTATTATTAATTTATGTTGTTATCTTTTAAAGAATTTCAGCCGTAGTTCTATTTGTAGCTCAAACCTTTCAAACTATATTGACATTGTAAGTAGTAATAATCACACTTTAAATGATATGCAATAGCTATTTTAGTTCTGTTTCAGAACAGAAGAATTAGCTAAATCTTTGGTTGCAGCAAAAGATTTTTTTGATTTATTTGAACGACAACCAGTCATTGATAATTGTTCAACAAAAGGAAAAATAATTGTATGTACTGTATAAAATGTTTGTTTTTGTCGAATTTTCATTCGTCATCTCATTATTGAACAATTCTTCCTAGACAAATTTTAACGGGAAAATTACATTTGATTGTGTAAAGTTTTGTTATCCAACAAGACCAGAAAGACTAGTTTTGGATAATTTTCAACTAAATATAAATAATGGTCAACGTATTGCTATCGTCGGTCAGTAACATACAATATTTCTCTCTCTTTTTCACCTTAGCTAGCCGATGATAAAATTTATTATGATAATTTTTAGGAGCTAGTGGATGCGGTAAATCGACAATTGTACAATTAATTGAACGTTTTTATGATGTTAAGCGTGGGTGTTTGGTAAGTGTTAATTATAATCAGTATTATTTCTTCTTACCGAACTTAAACAATCATTTTAAAATAGTCTATTGATGGTCAAAACATAAAAGATTTAAATTTACAATGGTTACGTTCAAAAATTAGTCTTGTGTCGCAAGAACCAGTTTTATTTGATATGTCGATAAAAGCCAATATTGCCTATGGTGATAATAATCGACAGCAGAAAGATATAACAATGCATGAAATAATTGAAGCAGCTAAAAAAGCAAATATACATGATTTTATTCAATCATTACCAGAAGTATTTGTTTGTGTTTTTTACCTTTTTTGCACAATACTCCTTTTCTCATACTTTTGTGTTAAGAAAGTAGAATGTTAAAAGTAGAATATCGTACAACACTTTCTTTTATCCTCACAGACAGAGCACTCATTAATACTCAAAACTTCTGAAAAATGCTTCTGCATGAATTTAACTGAAAAGAATGTGCATGAAAAACTTGAAACATTATAGAGGGTGATATTCATGAACCATGATACAAAAGGAAAACTAGTACTACAACCGCTCGCTGGGTAACAGACCGAGAAACCGATAAAGGTGGTTCTGCCCACTGAAAATGTTTCTAGAGAAATTATTGACGCATTAATGATTTTCTTCAGTAGTGTGAGGTGCTGAAAAAGTGATTACTATCCGATGAATTTCGGGCTATAACTTCACTGATTACTGATCAGCAATGAGTGACGATGTTCCCAGTGTGTCATTGCTGATAACTAATACAGAATGATTTTTAAGTACATTTTTACTGTGCATCACTGACTGATGAATTTGACAGATTCAGTGTTGTTAATTCGACAAGAATGTTTTCTTTTTTGCATTATCCAGCTTTAAAGTCGTTATAAGTGACCCTTCTGGCCAAATTTAGGTCGCGCAGCTAACATACACTTTCCGTCGATCTTTGTAAAATATTTTTAAACTAATTGGTTTTTACTGATTACTATTGCCCTGAAAAGACATACGACAGTTTATTTTGTTTTCATTCTGTGTGCACACACGTGTGTTCCTAGAAAGGGCAGTATACGTACTTTCTTCTGTTTCGGACAGCCTTATAAAAGTACATGCCTTAAGGAGAAAGCTCTCTTGATTGACAAATTAAGAAATCAGGCTACTATCCTTCACACGTAAAGTTCATCATTTTAGCACTGAGATTTTCAGCTGTTTATAACGTAGAAAAAGAAAATAATCTCAATGAGAGTAATTATTAAGCTAAGATTTCAGGAAAGACGTTCTCAAGAGACCTTGCAATAATTGCACTACTTTAGTTGAACACTTAGGAATCCTCGGTAAGTAATGGTCGCCGCATATCAGCACTAATATCTTATCTTCAAGTGCTCTCTGTCGAGCAGCGCCACCAGTACGAGTGCATATGACGACACATTTTGAAATGTTGATCAATGATGACGGAGATAGAGAATTTTTCACCGAGCACTTTCGAAGTCAAATTTTGGTAAGTAGACCTTCTAATCAAAGATCTTGCCCAAACCTTAGATTAAGAAATTTTCAGAGCTATTGCCAGACAGAAGAGCACTTTTTCCTTGAAGATTTTGCATCAATCGATATGATAACTTTTTGTTCTCGAGGGTTATGATACAAATGTTGGACTGAGAGGTCTACAAATGAGTGGTGGTGAAAAGCAACGAATTGCAATTGGACGAGCTCTTTTACGTCAACCAAAAATATTGATATTAGATGAAGCAACATCGGCACTAGATACTCTAAATGAAAAGGTTATTTATTTTATCTTCTCTCTCTACTTAATTATAAAAAATGATTTTTCTTTTTCTTTAAACACAAATAGATTGTACAAGAAGCAATTAGCAGCACTTTGGAAAACAATAAACAATTAACATGTATCATTATAGCACATAATTTATCCACCGTAGAACACTGTGATTGTCTTTTTGTTATGAATGAGCATGGACAAATTGTTGAGTATGGTAAACATCATGAACTATTAAAAAAGCGTGGACATTATTATAATTTAACGTTGAACAAGTAATTTAATTTAATTAGTATTTTTTTGTTATTCTATCTGTATGATATTTTATTTTGCTCTGAACATGCACACAAATTGTATCATAATAATGTGTTGCCTATTCACTCTCTTACATATCTATTTTTTTCCATATCCCTTTTTGTATATGCTAAGCGCGTGGTCGAAGTGTCAATTTATTAGTTTCAGGTTCAATCTTCTTCTTATATCCTAGATGGAGCAGCATCAGATTAGAACATTTCTTGATAATGGCTAATTCAAATGTTTGTTTACCTAAGGGTATAACTGATGGTAGTAACAGAATTTATTCTTTCAACATTCGCAGACCAAGGAGAATCATCTAAAAATAGTAAAATACCAAAAGTACATTTTGTTGAAGAGCTTGCTCATGATGAAAATCCGTTGTTGATTGGTGTTGTAGAGTCATAACTCCACGCTTTGATAAATGATAGTTCTCTTGAGATAAATAGCTTTAAGAGATGATTCGCGAGGAAAGCGAGTATTTTGCGAAACACGCGTAACATGCAAAAGTTTGACATATGTTTTTTATTTGATTTTCAGATTCTACAATCAAAACTGGGGTGACGAAAAAAATTGTTCACTTCCAGACTTTAAAATTGACCGAGTTACAGAGTTTTCAAAATGAAGTGCATCGAAGAATCGCAAAAATGAGCATTGTCTCATATTTTCAATATAACTGCGTCATTTTTCATCCGTTCTGTTCGAGTAATGTCTCATTCGAAAGACCATCAAAACTAAACAAACTCAGATGCCTTCTCTTTTTCTAAACTCAATAGTGATGTTGTAAGAGGTTCATCAAGTGAAGGATTATGATTTTCACATACAAATTGTTTCTACTACAACCCACTTTTGGGCATCCAAACAGAATTTCCCTAGAGATACGAAGCTGACATCAGATAGAAAATTCAATTTTCTATAAACTGAGTTAAAAAACTTTGTTTTAAAACCCCTGCAACAGTTTGAAAAGTTGAAAACAAGACGGCCGACTGATATCGTTTTGCAGTTTTTTGAGATTTTTGGCATCAAGACTTCATTCTAAAACAAAAATAAAGTTATATTTGGAATCAGCTGTTAGAAAAGATAGGTTAAATCAACAGGCAGGTGAATGCATTACATATGTCAGACAGGATTTTGTTTGTGAAAGATTATTGAGGATTGAGGACGATGATTTTGATGTCATGTTTTTTAATTGGACTATTACAGATATAACGTACATTCAACTATATCTTTAGCGTCTCATTCTTCACTTTCCGTCGATGATAAAGTTGATAGGATGGATAGCCACAGATGTTATATCATTTAACTTTTCATTTTATACTTCTATCTTATTTTTTTCTCTTTTTTCACTTGCTTACGTTTGTCTTCCATATTATTTTCTTCAAGATAACCAGATACAATGCTTCTGGCGATTTTCCATAGTTTTCTGGATATTTATATTTATACTATGTTCTTTTGTTAATAAAGTTTAAACTAAATTAAACTAAACTAAACATAGTTATCGATCACGGCGAATCTTATGATAACGTGTGTTTTTCAAATAGAATCCCAATACCTAATGAGAACCTATATTCAATGACATAGTTCACTTTTGCCTATTTTCATGTCAAATTAGAAAATTCATACCTGAGTTTTTTGAAAAGTTTTTGTAGAGACCCTCTGAAGTAAAAGAGTATTTTTTACTATTCTTAACTAGAAAACCATTTGAGCAGATAAAATATAGATTATTTCACTAAATATACTTTCTC